TCAGCCACTGCTTCCAAGGATAAGCAAATGCATCTTCTCTCACCAGTTGCTGGCTGGCTACTTATCTGCTTTTTTTTTCTCAGCTCTCAGAGACCACCTCATCCCTTAGTAGATGTGACAATGATAGTTCCTGGGTTGTAATGAAGTTGATCTATTTTTCCAATCTAATCAGAACACAAGAGATCAACTGCTGTCCCTGATAGGGTCTACTGCTCCTTGAGAAGTGTCAATACCTATTAGTAAGTTGATTAAAATCTCTGCTCAGCTGGTGGCTAGAGGATGAAGTCACTAGTGAGACAGACTCATTTCCATGTTTCGCCTCTTCCTGCCATCATCTCCATCCTGCTCCATGTTCAAAGCCTGGGACTGGCTGCCTTTTACATACCACAGCGCACAACCACCTTCACGTCCCAGGTCCCTGATGAGCTTTCGCTGTATTCACATGCAGACCTGTAGGCTTGTGAGAGCTGGGTGCCTTCCTTTGCAGTGTGTCTGGGTGGCTTGTAAATGCTTACTGCTTTGGAAGTCTCCTCTGCACTTCTGCTTTAAAGAAAAGACTGTCTTGAACAGCACCAGAGCCTCCTACTTCTGATAGCTTAGAATCCAGAAGAGACACTCCAAGGAACTAAAAGCTGAAGTTTTTACAGAGGAAAATTCCCTTGCTGTTGCCAAGGCAGAGCTCAAGGCTAGGAACCAGCTGACAGTAAGCAAGAAGTGCAATGTAGCCTGCTGTCTAGGTGTTAAGAGCCACACTAGCTTACATCTGAGCAGGCTGAGGAACAGTGGCTGAGGAAACCTATGAAGCAGCAGCTCTATTTCCTACTCAAACAATTTGTCCAAAGGCTGCTGGCAACAAATTGCTTTCTATCCATTTCCCCACATGTTCCAATTTCCACCTCTGCAGGTTTTAATATTCTTACCACACCATTACAAGGGAAAGCAATTGTAAAACCATTCAATTACTCTCAATATCAAACTCACTTTCCAAGAAGGATGAGAAGTCAACCTTGACATGCTGATGGTACACAGTTTGGATCCGGAAGAAAACAAGAATTTCTGCTCTTGAACTTTGAAGTTAAAAGAAATTTCTGCTTCAATAATTTCAAGTTTAAGAAATGCTCTGATCTTCCTCAGAATGAATAAATCACAGAATTTTAAGCCAGAAGGGATTTTGAAGATTACCTTGCCCAAGGTCACACGGCTAATAGAAGTGCTGGTGCTGGGACACAGGGGGTCACTCCCTGGGGCTTATCCTCTCATAAGGCTTCACTTTGCGCCCAGAGCTGCTAGGCTTTTTGGGCCCAAAGGAACTCCTACGTTGGGGGTACAAACCTGCCTTAAAAACCAGAATGGTGCCAGAGATCTGTAGATACAACTGGCTCTGCATTGGGCAGGGACTACCTCTGACTGATAAATGTGTTGAGGTAAGTGTAGTGCAGGTATTAACAACAGTGTGATGACCCCTGGCGACACTCAGGAGGAAAGGTTCCCAAAGCTCCAGTAAACCCTGTGGCTCACAAGGTAGGGTGGAACAGGGACTTCCTTCTTACCCAGCTGCTGTTTCTTTACACTATCCCACTTAAAGCAGGCTGCAAGCAGAACAGCTGGTGATATTTTGCAATTCACCAGGTCCTCCCTTCATCAGGCCACATGCTAATGAGTGCCACACTATCAGGAAGGTGGCCACAGTTCCACCAGAAGGAGGCAGTGTCAGTGGCTTGAGTAGCCTATGATGGACCATAAATTAAGAAAACTAACAAAGTGCATGGCTGTGAGAGTTTATCTGTTTTCATCTATGGCTCAATTAAACATTCCTGGTGAAGAAATGGCCAGCAGTACACACGCTTTTGTGGGACCTACACATGATGAAGTGAACTGTTTCTCAGTGAACTGTTAAATGAGCACACGTTTTGTTTGGGAAAGGGAGAATGGGATCATCCAAACAGAGATATGTAACTTTTTTTTTTTTTTGGTGGAACTGGGGATTGAACTCAGACCCTTGTGCTTGCCAGAGAAGCGCTTATTCTACTGTGCCATCTCCCCAGCCCAAAAAAGATATGAAACCTACCTGTGGCCTCAGAGAGCAACAAATATACCTACGTCTCTGTGGCTGGGGGTGGGAGAGAAACCAGGGCAAATTCCACAGACAGACGGAGATAGGGTGGCTCTAGGATACATGTTGGCAACTAGCCCGGGACCTGAGTGCACTGAGAGGCTCACAGGATTCTGGTACTTTAGATTCTGTGCCTATTTGGAAGGACTGGCAGTTCCTCAAAGGCAAACCCTAGCCTGAGAATCTCAGGAATGGCCCAATCATTGTTCCCAGAGGTGTGGCAATGAGTACAGGGTGGGAAGCTGTACAAGCTGTCTTCTCTATTTTGATACTTCTGGTGAAGACTCTGAAGCGACAAAGCCACACTCACACTGCTGGCCAGCATGCAGCTCTCTGGGGTTGGACTGCAGGGTGCCTGAGAGCACCTAAACCAGACAGGAGGTTGGTGGCCACTGAAGAGACCAAACAGCAGAAGAATAGGTGACTGGGGATGCAGGCACCAGAGAAACAGTTGCTGGAGGCCTCTAACCACTATTTGCCGAGTTTTCAGGCAACACAATTATAAATAAATGATGTTTAATCTTAAAAGATGAGAATTCAGAATGTTATCTAATAAAATTAATGGCATGAGAGAAAATGACTGAAATTACCTAGGATGGTTAACACTTTGAGTTCTTGGCCATAGAATCCAGTATTCCTGAGGTTGAAAAATCTCATCACAAGGTAAATTTCCTGGCAGGAAGCATCTTTACCCTGAAAGGGCCATGTAAGCCAACAGGGGGGTCAGGCCAATCTGAGAGTTTTGGAAACCTGCCTTCCGCACTTTCAAAGGCACACAGGGATCTGAGGGGCTTTATAACACCTTTACCTGGTCTACAGAAGGGAGGAGGTTCAAAATCTTTTCCTCATAATCCAATTTTCTTTTCCTGTGAAAGAGACATTAATCTTCTCTTTATCAATATCCAAGATATACCAAAAGAATCACTTAGCCAATGCCCTTTTGACTTCTTTATATAGAATGAAATCAATGCTTATAGTGGAAGATATAGAACTTCTTGCCCTAATTCTGAGAACTGGGCTTACAGTACTCCTGTGATAATACAAAGTAGGAGCAGCTTCTCATGAAAAATGGATGGCAATGGAAGAGACAATCTGGATACTCTAAAGCTGGGTTTCTGTCAGATGAGATGTGCTTCCTATTCCGAAACTGGGATCCCAAATGATACCTTCTCTTTAAAGGGCAAGGGATGTATCAAGAGTCATGGAGAACAACACTGCTATTTTCAGGAAAGAAACTAATAGGTAAGATATATTAAGAGAATAGACTCCTTTCTTCTCTGTCACTACTTTTGATAAAATGACAGTGCCTTAAATGACCTGCACCCCCAAAATGAACCAAGGGATGCAATTCCTACAAAAGAAATACTCCGTATTAATACTGGGTCATCACTGAAAACTAATGGCTTAACTGTGTGCTGGAATTATGGAAACCTCTATTATGGTGTGGGTACAATATCTTTAAGGCTGTTTGTGTCTAGAGCAGGATGGCCAAGATGTGATGGGCACAGAAAGCCTGTAAGGAATGACTGTGAGGAATGACTGTAAGGACTGGAAATCACGAGCTCAAAATAAAATTAAGGGGACAGAACCAGCCACATGTATCAAAGGAGATGTCACATTAACAGCTACAAAGAGTAGATGGCACCTACGTGGAGAATTCACAGGCCAAATTTGGCTATTGACAGAAACTCTCTGGTTATTGGAGTTGCCTAAGCTCTGAGTAATAAATGCACAGCCACCAGTGGCTACCTGACAATGGTTAAAGCTGTGCCACACTGGAAAGCTGGATCAAGGAACTGCTGAGTCTGCCACCCTGAATAAAATTCCATGATTCTCATGAGTTGGAAGTACCTCATCCCCTTAAATCTCTTTCAAGCTGTCATTTCTTCCTATTAGTTTCAAAAAAGCCAGTGTCTCTCCCCTAAATCTAACCACCAGAAATAAAGTCACTGCCATTCTCAGGAGCATAATGGGCAAATGGTCTTCTTTGTTATAACACTGTGAGTGTCCTTGGATCCTCTAGTATCACATCTGTATCTTTCCTCCTTGCTTCCACTCTCTAGCCCAGCCTCACGGTGCTGCCACTAAGGCACCAGAGTGGTGATTTTCTAGTCTCAATTTTCTACAGTGGCTGAGGACAGCTGAGGTCTGGTGCTCTGTTCTAGCTTTTATACAATCAGGTGAGGAGGCGCTGTAGGGGGTGGGAGATGAAAGGACAGAAAGGAAAAGAGTAAGGCCAGGGTCATGTGAGCTCTGGAGAAAGGGCTACTAGGCATGAAGGAAGAAAAGGGTTCAGACTAGTCAGGGATGGCACTAGGTTACTATTAGAAGAAATAAAAACGAGTCAGTTCCTGAGAAGTGAAGGACAGAGCCTTGATACAGAGTCATGGTCGCCTTGGACTCTAAAGAAATGTAGCTCCAGAGCATCTGACGATTCATTCCCTAGCCTGTGATTTCTCTTCACATTCCAGACAGGATCCTGGAGTTGCTAGCAAAGGACTCACCTATATCAGAGGATTCTGGGTCAGAGTAAAGGCTGTGGACAGAAGCCTTATGGTTTGAACTGAATCCAATATGGACAAAGCAGCAGAGCAGCAGAAGTTGGGGTCCACGGCCGAGCTTAGTGTGCTCCACAAGGCCTTCTCCAGATGGCTTGGATGATCAGAATCATGCTTCAATTAAAACTGTCATAAAACTCAGGATGGGGGTGTAGAGAAACCTGGCATTCAGAGTATAGAGAAAATGTGCAGAGGAGGTGACTGAAGAGGGTCAGAAGGAAGTGTCCTTCCACCAAAACATTCATTTCTTTTGGCTGGAAGGCAATGGCTAGATAAAAAGCATAGGGCAGCAAATGCTTCTCCCCACTCCTACACGTGGAACCTAGTTTATTTGGACAGTTTGCTGATGACTCTGATGAGGGCACCATTTTCATCTTTCAGCCTCTGGTTGTCGGATTTCAGTTCTGTTAATACCTATAGTGACAGAGGAAAGAGTATGTTAGAGCCTGGCACAACTGCTGCCTCTACCCTCCCTGAGCAGGCCAGGTTGGCAGGTGAGCAGGTCCTTCTAGACAGTGCATATAGTGAGCCATTACTACCCTTTCTCCCAAGGATCTACTTATTGAGTTGGTAATGTTAATATTTTGGAAGACTATGCCCCTTATCTTTTGATTAGCATATTTAGCAATAGTATTTTTGTATGCAGATTTTATGTTCTAATACTGTAGATCCTTTTATTCTATTGAGTCTGTAGCTATTTTTAATTGTTCCCAGTCTTGAACTTACCTCTAGTCTAGAGAAACTGGGGAGAGTGCCGACTTAGGTTGGTTAGGACATAGAGAAGGAATTTAGAAAGGAGCCAGCAGGGCATGGCTTGCCACCCTATGAAAACACAATAAGCTGAGGGGCAACCCTAGGCTTTCCTGCCATGTGTACAAGAGGACTTAAGGACCGACCCTTCCTTGGTGCTATCAGTGCATAGAATCTACCAAGCTTCTTGCTGGTCATGTTACAGATACCCACTTCCAGCTATTAAATTCCATGGAAGTTACAGATATGGTCACAGGGCCATAAGACACAGTGAACAATATACATATATTTAACTTCCCCTTAATTCTCCACTGATAATTACCAAGAAACAGCAAAAGGCCTTATTGGCAGTTTCTTGGGGTCGTGTTACAATTCCAGGAAACAGATGCTTATATAGAGGGAAAGAAGAGTGAAGAGTCAATTCTATCAGTTCTGCCACCTTAGAATATTACACATAGTGTTGTTCAACTTATGGTACAAAGGAAAAAGCTTGAATTCCAATTCTGTTATATAATAAGTTCAATCCATGTGCTATGCATGTGAGAAACACTAGTAGGCTTTTGGTAAGGGTACTTTTATGTGTGGGCCTCACTGGTAACCAGATTTACATTACAAAGAAAGTACATTTTCACCATGAAGACAATCCAAACTGACACCCTCATCTGCTCAATGCAGATGTCCTCTGAACAGTCATTTAAACCTATAGAACTACCATGGTAGATAATGCCCACAGGGAAGGGTAGCCTGGGCTCAGGTCCTAGGGTTCTGTCTTTTAATTCTAGCTCTTGGCTCTGCTATTAACCCCATAGTAAGGACTAATATTCCTAGTTTCTTCAATCTTGCAGTGAAGATACAAGTTACTTTATGTAAGTACAGAATATATGAGTATGCATACAAATCCATCATAGATATATAAAAAAATCTGTGTCAAGGGAGCAAAATGAAAACATTACCAAGTATCTGTAATATGGGAGGCACTGTGCTACAGGGCTTCACTAGCACTCCACGCCTGTCATCAGTTGATACCCTTTTTTGCTACATGTGAAGGAATTAAGACTTTTGCAGCTGGCCCAAGGCAGCCATCTATTTAAGTGGTACAGCTGATATTGAACCAGGTCTATCCAACTCCAAAGATCATTTGTTAATTACAGGTGGGAGTGGGAGTTGAAACTCATGCCCAGAAACTGAAATTTCAGCACTGATACTGTCATGTCATTAGTAACTTGTATTACTTTATGCTAACTTCTTAATGTCTGCATTTCCAATTTTGTTATCCATAGAAGAATATCATCTTTCCTACTTCCTCATAAAGTAGGAACACTGTGGGCTCCAGAGAAGGAGACAGTGAAAGTGTGCTGATACCTGTTAAAGTATTTTGCCATGCTGAGCATTTCTACAGTGAGTTTCCCCATGAACACATGTGAGCATGCAAACTTTACCAAGAAGACTTTAATCCAGAAAATGTCAAAGTAAAATTTTAGTTCTTTGACCCTGCTTCCAAATAAATCAAGGCAGCTCTGCATGCCTTCTCTTTCATGATGTTTCCTACCCCCTGCAACCTCTTGGAATTGAGTGCTCAGCAACTCATTTCAATGACTGGAAAATGTCAGCCCAGGATGGCCTCATCATGTTTCATATTTCCATGTTTTTGCTAATACCTGATACTGGGCCCACAGAGTGGGTAAGACTCTGAAAGCCTTTTTACCATAAGACTCCATAGGTAGGAAAAAAAGATATATATATATATCTCCAGACATTCCACTGTTTAACAGTTCTTCAAATCAAAACTTGTGTCACACTGCTTTTTGGGGGGGGGGCACTGGGAATCAAACTGCGTTGCTTTGTTAAAAATTGCATAGACAACTGTTTGAACTTTTGTGATTTATTCCCACATTAAGAGCTCTATTCCTCAGGAACAAAGTTAGGGCAAGGCAATTTCACAGCTGCAACATGTTACAACTGACATCTTATGGGAGTGTCAAAAAGAAGCAGAATTATAGAAATCAATGGGAAAAAAGCCTCATAAACTTCATTCTCAAAAGAAGGGGAGAAATGAACTGTGTCAGTTGATATTCACTTGAAGTTAAAGAATGGTTAAATAGAAGATGTATGAAAGTACTTATACAAATATGAGGTTTACCAAAGTCTTATCATTTTAAGTCCTTGAACATCAGCTTCTTAATTGCTAAATTTCCAGCTGACCACAGCTTGATGTTAGGACACCTTGAACAAGTAAAATTAAGCACACATTTTTTCAAATTTGTCTTCTTATAGTCTATGATAGGAATATGTTAAGGAGGAAGGAAGGAAGCATCAGAGGGCACCAGAGCAAGGCTGGCTATCACAGCAGGGTCTTACTGAGTCTTGCCTCAGCTGCCTTGCATCCAACTCTTTGAAAAGTGAGTCCTCCCTTCTACCTTGTTGATAAAGGATTGAACTACATTCTGAGATAAGATATTTCTGCAGGGGACTATTTTAAAAAATGGGCAAAATCTCTTGGTTACATTTCCAGTTTGGCTTAGTTATCTTTCTTTCTGGCAGAGGTGAGCTAGCTTTTTTGTAAGGGGCCAGATAGTAACTATCTCAGGGTCTGCAGTCTCTGGAAGTGCTCAACTCTGCTGCTACAGCAAAAGTAGCCACAGACATGATGATAATACATAAACAGTGAAGCTAAGTTCAATACAACTTTATTTTTGGACACTGGAATTTGAATTCCATATAATTTTCATGTGATGAAATATTCTGACTTCTTTTTAACTACTGGTATGGCTTATGGGCCACAGGAATGAACTATAGTCTAATGTACCAAGGTAAGGGCATTCTTCAAGTGGCACACTCTTTTGATAGGAAAATGTTTTTTGGAAGTTAACCTTTCACAGGGAAGTCAAGGGTGCTGAGAAGGTAGAATGCTGTCCTTCATCACTCAGCTGCAATTCTGGGGAACAGTATAATTGCTCAACAGATCCTTCTTGCACGGTTTAGGTCATGTGCTTAACAAACAGCTAAAACTTTGTGCCAAATATGCAGGCAGCTTATAATCATACTGCGGAAGGGCACAGGCTCCAGGATTCAACCTAGTTAAGTGATTCTATTGACTGTATTTTAAAAATATGTACAATGATTCTAAAGAATCAATGAGAAAACATTTAAAACAGTCAACACAGGCCTTAATAAATGACAACTACATATTATCATGGTTTTTAACCACTGGAAACATGAGATCTGGATTTTGCCTCAAATCCTAAAGGGACAATGACTCTCCCTTTAAAAATAACTGGGTCATCTTTGGGGGTCACTACTCTGCCCCAAGTCATTAATTAATTTATGGTGCTGAAGACATGCATACCGAGCATGCGATTCTCCACTGAGCTCCCCTGCTCCCCAACCTTTTCTAGGAATTTTAAGGCTCATTTTAAAGCGTGGACTTTGAACTTAACAGTGGCCGCTCACTGCCAGGCCATGGTAGCACTTCTCTTTCAGTTTTCTTTCTGCCTATGATAGCATCTGCAGCAGGATATTAGCTCAGCCTTTATGGTAATTTGGGTGCTTCAATTCTAGTGGATATTAGTTGCCAGCTACTGACCCTGAAGGCAAAAACAAATAGGCAAGAAGAAGAACAGATGCTGGTCAGGGACTAATTAAACTGTTGGTGAAAATTAAAAACTCATTTCAGGGGAGTGGTGACCCCATCATACTATCTTGGGATAGGGAAATAAGCTGTCTGTGAGCTTGTCTTTCAGATCCATAGCCAGGGGAAGGTTACATTTTGCCAAACAAATTTTTTGGTTCTCAGATGAAAATACATCTCTGTTCTCTGCTTCATTGCCTGTCACTTCCTTTGCAAACCTGGCCCCTGTAGGTAAGGCCTCACCATTTAAGGGTCTCATTTATATATAGGCTGTAGGGCTGGGGAGATAGCTTAGTAGAATAAGCACTTGCCTGGCAAGTGCAAGAGCCTGAGTTCAATCCCTGGTTGGGGGGGAATATATATATATATATATATATATATATATATATATATATATATATACTGTATTCTAGGCCCAGAGATTTGTGACAGATTTGAGACAGAAATGTCTCAGTAAGGAGTAGGGAGGAGGAAGAAAAAAGGAAAGACTTGCAGAAGGAGGCAAAGAATGTTTAACCAGTTCTGCTCCAGTAGTAGAATAGAGGACGATTTTGCTGGTAGCAGAGTTGGGTCAGAACAGCTCTAGCCTTTAGTTCTAGGCCTCTTCACCCAGCAATGCTGTCACATGTAGGAACTTAGTTTTTTCTGGCATCCAAATGGTTGTGATTCTCAATATTGGTTGCACAAAAGAATCAACAGGAGAGCTTTAAAATAATACTGATGGCAGTTTCCTTAACTCAAACCACTGATTCTTGGGGCAGGCTCAGTCACTCGTATATATTAATAGCTCCCAGGTGGTGCTGGGGTGCAGCCAGGATTGAGAGACTTTACTCTTGGTTACCCTATGTTCAACTACAATTTGGAATCCAGAACCATACCAGTTGCTACAGGAATTGTACTTAATTACTGCTGACTGAGAAAGCTCTATCTCAAGTTCACAAAAATCACATTGAAAAAATATGTGTGCATATGTGTACACAAGTACACACACACACACACACACACACACACACACACACACGTATCTATTTGTAGCTAAGAGGAGAAATCCAAACTCAGTCTCTAGCAAAAGAGAAGGTAACAGGGTGATCTTACCAAACACACTCCTGGCCCAGGCAAGTCACCCCCACTGCCTCCCTTCCCCTAGGCTGTTGTATCCCATTTTATGGTCTCACTCCTGGTTCCTTCCATTTCCAGATGACCAAGTTTTACAGGAATCTGTACAGGGAGGCTTGGGTATGGGGAATGAGCAGTGTTTCTGGGACCAACAAGAAGAGTAAACCTGCCTGGAGTAGTGGAGGAGGAAAGTGAGGTGAAGAGGAAAGGCAAGAACTAGAGCTCCTGGGTGTCCGAGGACTCGATGGACTCCGAGAGTCTGGCCACCACTCGGGTTAGGGCTCTGTTCTCAGCCTGCAGTTGCTCGTTCATCTGCTTCAAGGTTTGAATCTGTTTTAGCTGGTGGAGGTTCTGCAGAGAGTGAGACATGGAAGGGACAGACAGACAAGACAGAGACAAGACAGACCAAAGGAGAAAAAAGTAGGACAAAGATACTATGTGACTTTTTTTTTTTTTTTTTAGTTTGCATGCAAGAAATGAAATGAGAAAGGCAGGAGTAATGAGAAATTATGTATGGGGGGGCATGCAATGGAGAAAAGCACTAGGAAATGGAGAGCTGTGCCTGTGATTCTTGGCTGAGGTCTAAGTATGCTGAAGGTTGACATATGAACATAGCAACTTGGCTCTCAAAGCACATTGAGTCATTTCTGAGAATGACAGCCCACCATGTGGTTTGGTCCTTCTTAACCAGATTTATATGGCTGAGCCATAGCCTCAGGGACGTTCCTTCACTGTCATCTGGAGTGGAGCTGAGGATTCAGAGTGTTCCGAAATCCAGATGCTGCCCTTGTCTCTCTCCCCCATTCCAACTCTCCACCCCCTACTCAGTCCCCTACACCCATTTGTTTTCTTTTGTGATTCTTAGCTCATTTTATTTATTTATTTCTTTTTTTTTTTCATTTTCTTTATTTTAAAAATTAAAACATGGAAAAGAGAGAGGTTTGTTATTTAGGCACTTTCTGTATATGACATGTATTCTTTAAAAGGGTGAGTGACACATACCAAAATAATACTGGACAAGGACTAGACAGCTTTCTAAGCTACTTTTTTTAGGAAGTTGCAGCAACCCTTCCAGTTCTCCTCTTAAATCTAGAAGGCTTGTCAAGGATTCTGGAACTGTGAACCTGCTTTGAACCTGTTATATATGAATATCTGCACCACTAGGTTCACAGTTAATTGTGCTCTCTATGCCCCAGTTCATATTGTAGTATTCACAAAGGACTCATATTCTGAACAAAAGTGGAAAATTTAAGACTGTCTAGCTATAATGCAGTTGGGGAAACTCAATGTCCTAATCTAGCCCACATAGAGTTTTCCTAATATTATATATTTCATAAGGGACTTAAAGTCTTCAATAAATGAGATTTGCTCACAGTCTGCCTACTCTGCTACATGTCTTTCCTAAGTGAACATCTACACTGACCCTGACATTGAGACCATCAGTTCTCTGGAAGAGGGAAATGATTTGTTACCCAGATGGAGTTTTGTCAATGAGGATAATCCTATGGGTTAGAATGGTAACAAAGAGGTCACTAATCATCAAAGAAAAGTCTCTTATACAACGAGAAGGATGAGAATGAAAGATTAGTGGAATAACAGGTTGGAGTGGAGCAGTGGAAAATGAAAGGTAGCATGAGAGGAAAAACAGTGAAAAGGTAAAACAAGCAAAGACAAACTACTCAACAGCTTTTTCCCAAAAGAAGGAGAATAACCACTTTGGAAAACAGCCAGGGCAGCCAAACTGTCCTATGTGGCACTGGAGGGTAGGGACTGAGCAATCCTCTGCCCACTGTAAGCATTTTGGCTTTAAAAGGAACAGAAGATCATGGAGTAGCACATGGAAAAGTTCACAGGGGCAGGTACCAAATTTAAGAGCCAGCTGAAAGTCCCTGGCTCTCATCTTCACTGGTGTTGACAATGAACCAAAGCTTTCAACACGATCATTATTATAGTGGTCTTTGGCTCCCAGAGAATTTAGACATGAACTATACACATGAGTACACATAGAGTGAGATGGAAGAATTTGGAAATTATCATCATGAAGGAGAGAGTCAGGAAACAATCTGGCGGACTGTTCTCTAGGAAGCAGTCTTGAAAAAAAGGCAGGGCAAGAAGATGGGGAGGACAGCAGGACATAGAGCAGGGTTGGGAGGGCAGAGTTTAGCCGCAAGAATGGAGTGACATTTCCAGAGTAAGCAAAGTAAACAATCCCAAGACCAACCTAAAAGGGGATTGGCTGCTGGGTCCCTCTCATGCAAGGCCCTTGGAAAGGAAGGACAGAAGGTCTGCTAAGGAGGCTGGTGCTGAATGGAGAATGCAGCAGAAAAGTCATCAGGTCAGATGAGGGTACATCCCAAGACCAAATGCAGGACTGGCACAGCTCACACTGACATGCACATCTGTCAGAAGCTGGCATACAATCCTACTCCAGCTGGAGTTTCTCCAGGGCAGAAAATATAGAAACACTTACCTTTCTAGGTAGAGGCCAGAAAGGCACAAACTTTCTCATAGCCACAGAGCCACACACACATCCAAGTGAGCCTATCTCATGGTTCCCCATTTCTTTTTTCCCCCCCATTTCAATTGGCCTTTATATTTTAATAATTTTCCAGGGTTAAAAAAAAAAAAGTCTCCACAGTTACTTTTTGTGGTTGAATGCCTAGAGTATCTTTAATGGTTCATAGGAAATCAGCCCCTCAAATGGTCAGTCCCTATTGATTGCTCCAGGGAGACAGCTGCATCTGCATAAGCTGAATATGCAGAAGCCTAGAGACCAGTGGTCCCAAGCTGTACTGGGTTCCAGATTCAGTAAGACAGTTACCTGCCAGGTACCTAGTAGAGAGATTCTGGTCACTAATCCCTCTAGTAAAGCTGGTCAGCATAAATGATAAACATTTTATTTTTTTCTTTTAGGGTCAGTCAAACCAATTTGAGAACATTTTACCTACATTTGAAGTTTCTGAGCTCAAAGGACATATAAACACAAATATAACAATGGTATGGGACTCTGGTGTTCCTCCCTCAGTCCTCTAAGAGGAACTGGATGGTTTGCAACCCTACCATTAGCTCTAATTTGAGCAAATTGTATTTAAACGTTTGGCAGTCTGTAGGCATTTCTTCTTCATTTAGTAATGGAGAATATCAACAGCTGACTGAATGGGTATGATTTTCAACTTTTAAAAAAATGCAAAACAGCTTACTTACTGGTTTAGGGTCAAATTCTCAATCTGGCTGTAATTCATAAACTAATCAACTAAGGGGCCAGGCAGATGGCTCAATAGAATAAGCGCTTGCCTGGCAAGCTCAAGGGTCTTAGTTCAATCCCTGGTTCAATAAATAAATAAATAAATAAATAGATAAATAAAATAAATAAATTAATCAACTTATTTTAAAACTGCATAAAAATGGCTTCTCACTGGAGATAGCAAACATTTTCCTGTATCATAATCCCTATTGAGAAAAGAAGAGAACTACTGGCCTCATTTAAGAAATCAGAGCTTGGCAGAGTACACAGAGAAATAGGTAAGACTGTCTCAATCCAGAGTTTGACAGAGACTAGAACAGGGAAAGGGCTAGAACAGGAAAAGGCTTCCTCACTTGCCATTTATTTATTTATTTCTGTATTTAGGACAGGTTCTACAGGGTCTCACTACGTAGACTGGACTCATAGTGATTCTCCTGTTTTCAGCCTCCCAAGAGCTGGGATTATAGGAACGTGCCACCACATTCAGTCTCAACTGTCATTTCAGTGCGTCCCGTGGGCAGGGCCAGGACCAAACACTGGGGATTGTACCCTGGCCACTGCACTCTGTCTAAGCAGGTGCTTTAGTCCACTGAGCTATCAGGCCACCCCTCTCACTTGCCATTTAGAATGAGAATAGAAGCCACAGACCTCAAACTCTCTATTTCTGGCTACTTTTGAGGTGTGTGTGTATTGCAGTGGCCTGTTGGGTGTGACAGAGTTCCATGACTGGTGGGTACATGCTGGTTTGGGGGTCCTGTGTACTCACTGGAGGCACCAGCTGTGGTCTCATTTACATGCTTCAGATCAGCATTCAGGCCATTTCCTAAACAGCATTACTGATAGCTGCCTAACAGCCCAGTACAGATGGTATACTCAGGGGGTTCCAAAGATGGAAGAGAATCTATGCAACCAGGAGCTGTGGTTAAGAACTGCTTGGAAATATAACATGCTGCTTCAAGAGGAGACTACGTCTGTATGGTAAGTGAGGTGGGTTTGGAGGAACCAGAAGATGGAGAAGTTTAATGATGCTAGGGTACTGTTCTATTATTTTAGGAGAATGCTTCTCATTGTTCTGAATCAATACAGAAGATTTGAAATATTTTATATATAAGCAGATTCTGCTGGGAATTCTACAGAATACTGTAAGTTGTAGCCCTGAGATGGTGAGTAGGAAATGCAGGACGGGGTTTGGGATTTCTCCCTCACTTTGTAATTATAAAGGGTAACAAGGTTATGACCACATGCTCTTGTGAATACTACAACTTTGTCTTGTCCTAAAAAGTTCTTTTCAGTAAATAACCAACCTTTTGGAGCTGTTGGAACAATAAATATATCTCCTAAAGTGTCTCAATTACATATTTTGAATGTTTGCTCCAAGCAGGAGATTTGGAATCAGCCTGATATTGCCTGACGTCCTCTGCTTTCTAGCCGAATAATTTCTATCTTACCAGGGAACCGCTTGCCATCATAAATCCAGAAAAACACAATCCCTGAAGAAAGAAATTCTAAGCAAGTACTAGGTGATCGTGGCCATGTGGCATCACCCACTCAGAGATCAGATGCTCCTACATCATATCGGGGTGGCTCTGCATTCCCTGATGCTCTCTATCTAGCTCTGCCTTTGGGAAGACTGCCAGACCTCAGCATTCAAAATTGCAAAGAACAGCAGCAGCAGTTGTCAAAGTGGCTAATGATGGTAAGGGTTACTGCAGGTTGTGGTGAAGGGGAGAGGCAAGCAGTCTTGGCAAGCACTCAGAACAGTCATACAAAAAAAGAGAAAAAAAAATCTTTTCATGCCTTCATCTCTTCTGTAAGTGAATCTGTCCTATACCTTCAGTGAACTGCTCTAGTGGGAGTGCTATGCACACTGGAATATTGCAGGGTTATGTGGACTGGGGCAGGAAATCAATATGTGAATACATTTTCATTCTGCTGCAAAATGACTTAATCTGTGTTTTTTCCTGAAAATGGCTGGGTGGGGCTGGGGAGATGGCTCAGTAGAATAAGTACATGCCTGGCAAGAGCAAGGGCTCAGGCGTCGGAGTAAGCACTGAATAGAGGCTCTGTAGAGCTAGAAAACGTCCTTTTCACCAAACCTCTTGAGGGT